CAAAATGCTCAGTAACATAGCCCAATGCTCAATAGCATAGCCCTAGTGCTCAGTAACATAGGCCAGCGCTCAGTAACATAGCCCAATGCTCAGTAACATAGGGCAGCACTCAGTAACATAACCCAACGCTCAGTAACATAGCCCAGCGCTCAGTAACATAGCCCAGTGCTCATTAACATAGCCCAGTGCTCAGTGTACCATAGCCCAGTGCTCACTAACATAGCCCAGTGCTCATTAACATAGCCCAGTGCTCAGTATAACTTAGTGAGCATTGGGCTCAGTGTAACACAGCCCAATGCTCACTAACATATCCCAGTGCTCAGTAACATAGCCCAGTCCTCAGTAACATAGCCCAGCGCTCAGTAACATAGCTTAGTACTCAGTTGCATAGCCCAGTGCTTAGTAATGCAGCTCAGTGCTCAGTGTAACATAGCCTATGGCTCAGTAACACAGCCCAATTCACAGTAACATAGCCCAGGGCTCAGTCTAACATAGCCCAGGGCTCAGTGTACTATAGCCCAACGCTCAGTAAGATAGCCCAGCGCACACTAACATAGCCCAGGGCTCAGTGTACTATAGCCCAACGCTCAGTAAGATAACCCAGCGCACACTAACATAGCCCAGGGCTCAGTGTACTATAGCCCACCACTCAGTAATATAGCAAAATGCTCAGTAACATAGTCCAATGCTCAATAGCATAGCCCTAGTGCTCATTAATGTGTCCCAGTGATCATTAACATAGCCCAGTGCTCAATATTATAGCACAATGCTCAGTAACATAGCCCAGCGCTCAGTAACATAGTCCAATCCTCAGTAACATAGTCCAGTCCTCAGTAATTTAGCCAAGTGCTTAGTAACGTAGCCCAAGTGCTCAGTATTGTAGCCCAGTGCTCAGTAACATAGCCCAGTACTCAGTAGCATTGCCCAGTGCTCAGTAACATAGCCCAGTCCTCAGTAACATAGCCCAGTGCTCAGTAACATAGCCCAGTGCAGAGTAATATAGCCCAGGGATCAGTAACATAGCCCAGTGTTCCGTAACATAGCCCAGTGCTCTGTGTATCATAGTCCAGTGCTCAGTGACATAGCCCAGTGCTCAGTAATATAGCCCAGCGCTTAGTAACGTAGCTCAGTGCTCAGTGTAACAAAGCCCAGCGCTCATTGTAACATAGCCCAGGGCTCAGTGTAACATAGCCCAGGGCTCAGTATACCATAGCCCAACGCTCAGTAAGATAACCCAGCGTACACTAACATAGCCCAGGGCTCAGTGTACTATAGCCCACCACTCAGTAATATAGCAAAATGCTCGGTAACATAGCCCAATGCTCAATAGCATTGCCCTAGTACTCATTAACATGGCCCAGTGATCATTAACATAGCCCAGTGCTCAGCAACATAGCCCAGCGCTCAGTATTAGAGCACAATGCTCAGTAACATAGCCCAATCCTCAGTAACATAGTCCAGTCCTCAGTAACTTAGCCAAGTGCTTAGTAATGTAGCCCTAGTGCTCAGTAATGTAGCCCAGTGCTCAGTAACATAGCCCAGTCCTCAGTAACATAGCCCAGTGCTCAGTAACATAGCCCAGTCCTCAGTAACATAGCCCAGTCCTCAGTAACATAGCCCAGTCCTCAGTAACATAGCCCAGTGCTCAGTAACATAGCCCAGGACTCAGTAGCATAACCCAATGCACAGTAATGTAGCCAAGGGATCAGTAACATAGCCCAGAGTTCAGTAACATAGCCCAGTGCTCTGTGTATCATAGTCCAGTGCTCAGTAACATAGCCCAGTGCTCAGTAATATAGCCCAGCGCTTAGTAACGTAGCTCAGTACTCAGTGTAACATAGCCTAAGTCTCAGTAACATAGCCCAATTCACAGTAATATAGCCCAAGGATCATTAACGTAGCCCAGAGTTCAGTAACATAGCCCAGAGTTCAGTAACATAGCCCAGCGATCAGTGTAACATAGCCCAGGGCTCAGTGTAACATACCCCAACTCTCAGTAAGATAGCCCAGCGCTCAGTAACATAGCCCAATGCTCAGTAACATAGCCCAGCGCTCAGTGTAACATAGCCCAGTGCTCACTAACATAGCCCAGTGCTCACTAATATAGCCCAGTGCTCACTAATATAGCCAAGTACCTTTTAACATAGCCCATTGCTCAGTTACATAGCCCAGTGCTCAGTAACACAGCCCAGTGTTCAGTGTAACATAGCCCAGTCCTCAGTAATGTATCCCCTTGCTCAGTATCATAGCCCAACGCTCAGTGTAACATAGTTCAATCCTCAGTAACATAGTCCAGTCCTCAGTAACTTAGCCAAGTGCTTAGTAACGTAGCCCTAGTGCTCAGTAATGTAGCCCAGTGCTCAGTAACATAGCCCAGTACTCAGTAGCATTGCCCAGTGCTCAGTAACATAGCCCAGTCCTCAGTAACATAGCCCAGTGCTCAGTAACATAGCCCAGTGCAGAGTAATATAGCCCAGGGATCAGTAACATAGCCCAGAGTTCAGTAACATAGCCCAGTGCTCTGTGTATCATAGTCCAGTGCTCAGTGACATAGCCCAGTGCTCAGTAATATAGCCCAGCGCTTAGTAACGTAGCTCAGTGCTCAGTGTAACATAGCCTGTGGCTCAGTAACATAGCCCAATTCACAGTAATATAGCCAAGGGATCAGTAACATAGCCCAGTGTTCCGTAACATAGCCCAGCGCTCAGTGTAACAAAGCCCAGCGCTCATTGTAACATAGCCCAGGGCTCAGTGTAACATAGCCCAGGGCTCAGTATACCATAGCCCAACGCTCAGTAAGATAACCCAGCGTACACTAACATAGCCCAGGGCTCAGTGTACTATAGCCCACCACTCAGTAATATAGCAAAATGCTCGGTAACATAGCCCAATGCTCAATAGCATTGCCCTAGTGCTCATTAACATGGCCCAGTGATCATTAACATAGCCCAGTGCTCAGCAACATAGCCCAGCGCTCAGTTTTAGAGCACAATGCTCAGTAACATAGCCCAATCCTCAGTAACATAGTCCAGTCCTCAGTAACTTAGCCAAGTGCTTAGTAATGTAGCCCTAGTGCTCAGTAATGTAGCCCAGTGCTCAGTAACATAGCCCAGTCCTCAGTAGCATAGCCCAGTGCTCAGTAACATAGCCCAGGACTCAGTAACATAACCCAATGCACAGTAATGTAGCCCAGAGCTCAGTAACATAGCCCAGCGCTCAGTAACGTAGCCCAATGCACAGTAATATAGCCAAGGGATCAGTAACATAGCCCAGAGTTCAGTAACATAGACCAGTGCTGAGTAACATAGCCCAGCGCTCAGTAACATAGCCCAATGCACAGTAATATAGCCCAGGGATCAGTAACATAGCCCAGCGGTCAGTGTAACATAGCCCAGAGCTCAGTGTAACATAGCCCAGAGCTCATTAACATAGCCCAGCGCTCAGTGTAATATAGCCCAATCCTCAGTTACATAGCCCAGCGCTCATTAACATAGCCCAGTGCACAGTAACATAGCCCAGCGCTCAGTAACATAACCCAGTGCTCAGTAACATAGCCCAATAATCAGTAATATAGCCCAATGCTCAGTAACATAGCCCAATGCTCAGTAACATAGCCGAGTGCTCACTAGCATAGCCCAATCCTCAGTAACGTGGCCAAGTGCTTAGTAAAATAGCCCAGTGCTCAGTAATGTAGTCCAGTACTCAGTAATATAGTCGAGTGCTCATTAACATAGCCCAGTGCTCAGTGTAACATAGCCCACCGCTGAGTAACATAGCCCAGCTCTCAGTAACGTAGCCCAGTGCTCAGTAACATAGCCCAGTGCTCAGTAACATAGCCCAGGGCTCAGTAACATACCCCAGCGCTCAGCAACATAGCCCAGTGCTTAGTAACATAATCCAGTGTTCAGTAATATAGCCCAATGCTCAGTAACATAGCCCAGTGCTCCGTAACATAGCCCAGTGCTCCGTCACATAGCCGAGAGCTCACTAACATAGCCTGCTGCTCAAAGCATATGAACAAAATGAAATGCAAAAGAAATACGTTTTTTCAGGGATTTGAAGCTTTGAAAACTGCATCCAATTACCACTCGTACAAGATCCAAATATTCCCAAAATAACACCAACTAATTTTTACTAAACTCATTAAAAAAAAGGTTTAATCCAAGTTTCCTGGTGCACACGTACCTATAGTCTGATCAAATTATTGTTTAGCCACAACATAACTAAAAATGAAAACTCAAGTGATAATCCTTGTGTTTGATATAATGCCTATAATGTCAAAATAACAACTGCTGCACATAAAATTTTTGTTAGCTATATTGACTTGTGCATTTATTATAATAATAATCCTCATCAAACCTTCAATGAGGTTCACAGAATATAGTTTAAGGAGAATTGATTGTATATTTTGTGGGTAAAACGAGGCAGTCAATTGCACATAGCATTGTCCCACAAACAGTTTTGAGTGACCAAATTATTTTTTGAAGGAATTCTTACCCCAGTAAAGCGTTTTGCCAATCGACTAACAACCGGCTTCCTACCTACTGCTAGGTAAACAGAGGCATGTGGAGTAAGGAAACTTGCCCAACATTTTGCTCTGCCTGGGAATCGAACTGCCAGCCGACTGCTCTAATCATTGAGCCACAGGACTCCGCAAATTTGTAACAGCCTGACAGCGAAATTGCACACTGTAACTTACTATTAAATAGCTATAAAACAAATGATCAATTTTATTTGGGGGATTGTTGGTTAGGACACCAGGAGAGAGAAAAATCTCTTCTCTTTTTGATTCATGCACGGGATCTTTAACGTCCACTTTGAACAGGACACAGAACTGAACATGAAAACATGAACTGAACAGGAAATAGACATGAAAATGCCCTTAGAAATTTCTATTGATAGGTTATGTTTGGTTATTCATTAACACATTTAAGAGTGAAAGGTCATTGTAGGTGCTGTAAAAAATGTACATTGACATGTGTTTTTTTTGCTGTTGCCAGGATTCCACAGCTGTGACCCCGGTTACACTCAAAGTGGACCCTCAGGGATTGTTCCTGTACTGGACAGATCAAAACAAGGTAGGAAAGCCCACTTGAGGACACTATGAACGTGTAGCAGTTGGCATTCCTGAACACATCCTCGTCACTGTACTATATCAGAGTGCACATGTTCCATCTACAAATTTATGGGTGAAATTTCCTGAGTGTCGCATTGGGTGTGGGAGCATATTGATTGTGTGGTATCGATTCCTGTAATGGTTGAGAAGAGTTTTTTTCCCCCCTCTTTCCCCACCCACACCATCGCATCCATCTTTTCAGCAACAGCAAAAATGTTTCAAGATTTCAATTATGTTTCATTAGTCAGTAGGAAGCAATCATAGGAAGTGTGTTTAACGCACTTAACGCATTAACGTGCCACCATAGCCCCTGACTCTATGCAGAAGGTTATTCAGGCCACGTGTTATTTACAAAGTTAACAATAACAATAATAATTCTTATATTTGGAGTGGCACCTTATTTAATTTTCGGGAATTCTCAAAGCATTTATGAAAATGTTACTGTAAAGTGGAATGACTGTGTATCATGTTGGCAACATGGCAGCCAATTTGTGCACAGCAGTGTCCCACAAACAGACATACAGTAAATGCTGTGTGCAAATTGGCTGCCCCGTTCACTCAACAACAATAAAATTACATTCCCAAGTACATCCCAAGGCACTCAAAAAAAACGCAGTACACTTCACAGGTCTTTGAAATGTCTCTACGATGTGATGAGTTGCTGTATCAAATGACTCTTGCGAGTTTATCTCGGAGTGTTTTGAGACACCTAGAAGACATGAAAAGCGTTATATCAAATGCAAGGATTATTATTATTACTATTGTTATCTCAAGGAATCTTGGATTGCCTAGAGTTTTTTTTGTGGTAGACCCAAAGCCTCTGATGTGCAAAGAACCAACCATTTGAGTATATAGCAATGACTCTGGCTTCTGAAGAATGCCGAGGCAAAAACCAAAATAGAAAGGTAGCAGACGTGAGAGCTTCACTGGAGACTGCTGGCTGATGTCACGGTTCACTTCAACTGAGAAGCAGTCCTGGCCTGATGATACAATATTGTTTTGCCTTCTACACAGTCATATGCAGGGTCAACTTAAGGTAGTTTTATGTGAGTTTGCAAATAAAAAGGCTGGTCAGGATGTATTCTCTAAAGTCTCTGAAGTGGGCGTAATTAAAAATCCATAGTAACCGTAAGTAAAATTATGCAACTTGGCAAAGCAGAAATTACAGAAAGACTTTAAACTCATTTGGGAATGCTGCAACATGCAAACATTTTTTTCAGACTTTCTATTTTGGCATTTTCAAATTCCAGCACGGACCGACAAACAAAAGATATTCTGTCTCTGAGCAGCCAATGGCCAAGATGTAGGGATGTCCTCAGGCTGTGTCATGAAAGGGGTCTTTTAGCTGAAGAATGACAAAACCTCAGATGGTATGAGTGGTGCATTGTCCTGGCTAACAATCTTATGAAACAATTAGTTGCCAAGAGATCTCAGACTTTTCAAACAGTTTCCTATGGGAAGGCGCTATATCAAATGTAAGGATTATTATTATCATTATTATTACATGTAAACCCATACAAACAATTTATCCACAAATATACAGTCAATTTACTTTACAATATATTCTGTGAAGCACTTTGAGACGTCTCGAAGCAGTTATAAGGCGCTATATCAAATGTGAAGATTATTATTATTATCCTCCAATGTAACTGACAGGTTTGAAGTGACGAGGCTGTTCCAGTGTCGTGGTGCAGTAATGTGCATTGTCAATGGGTTAACCTGAATTGGCGGTTAACATATGGTCAATTAATCATTTTTATTTTGCCTTATTTTTAAGTATCTTACATTCATTCACATCTGCAACAATCTGAGTGGGTGTTATTTCACTGAACAATGTGATGATTCTGATTTCTACAATGGCATTGTGTCTGGATGTGATTCAGTTGTTAGTTTCGTAATGGCTAGAGATTACATCAGTTGTATCTGGAGCAAATGTTGGAAACCGTCAGACAGTGTCAGTGTTTTTGGAGGAGAGCCAAATATGCAGTGAATATAGTCTTCATAACTGGCAACCAGTGTTTGAGTCACATCTGTAGTGGTGCTGGATCATATGAATTGTATCATTGTATTTTTTATGTGCCACAGTATTGATTACATTCCCACTATAGGACACTTAACAGATATCTGCCAACGGTTACATGAAAGTAAGATCAATTCATTCATGTAGATGTACTACACCTGGTTAAGCTACAGAAGTTAATCTGAAGACACGCCTGGCAGTCCCCAAGCCTTGGCTCTCACCAATCTGCATCTGATGCTCTCCCAGAATTAAGTAAAGCAGCATATAGCTTTCCAGGTAGAGAGGTACACATTCTATTCCAGATACATGTATCTCTATGTGTAAGAACATAAGAATTTGCTGGGAAAAGAAGACCAAGGTCCACCCATTTCGTCTTACACCATCCTGGCAGTCGCTTGACATGTCATGTACCAAACTTTAAACATTAGACCAAGATATTATTTTCTAGCAGAAATGTATCTAATTTATTCCTGGAACAAATGGCATTTTCTGCTTTCACTGTCTCTAGGGAGCCTGTTCTATAAGTTTACTACTCTCTCACTGAAGTAGTGTTTCCTCAGATTTGTTCAAAATTTCCCCCCTTCAATCGCAAGCCATATAGGTGTATCGTGCAGGTGGGATATATAGAGCTCCAAATTGTTTTGGTGACCCTTAAGCACAGTGATGGGTTTCCACGTGTGTCAGACGCCCGGCTGATCATGGTGATGGGTTTCCACGTGTGTCAGACACCTGGTGATGGGGTTCAGACACCTGAGTGCCTGATAAAAGATGCACTACAATACCCACGATTGGCTTTGGGGGTAAATTACATGGGATTTGTATTCACGTAATGTTTACATTACTTAACTAGAACAGGCTGCATATGTTGCTAAATTCTGAAGTATCTTGGCTTAAGCCATTTCCTGCTGAGCATGAGTGTAATTAGAATTGAGGCAGGTCAAATGTATGATGGAATGTAGATTCTAGAGTAGATGTGTTTTTAATATTTCCCAATTTTGGAACAATTGGATGGTGCCAACATTTCTTTTATATAAATCATAATTTATCTCTCTGGATTGCATGTATAATTATCACAAGGAGCTGCCAAAATAAATTCAAAGAAGCCACCTTTAATTAGCTGAGCCACAAGGGAATGGATTATCATAACCTCATCAATTTAGTAACAGACTTGACTGTGTCCTGGCACTGGGACAGACAGCTTGTGAAAGAGGAAAATCTCACCATATGTACCTCCTTTTAGTGTCAGAAAAAATTAACATTAAAAAGATCCTTCTGTTTTAGTTGTAGTTATTTGCTAATTTTCAGAACAGTTTAAATTATATGTCTGATGTCTATCTTATTGGATGAGTAGCTGTTCCTTATTGGAACAGTCCCTTCGCCTGGCTCCCTCCCTCCCTTGCCTCTTTCAAGGCACGCCTCATGACCCTCCTTTTTGACTGTGCCTTGGGCCACCTTTCTACCCCTACCCTCCCTGCCCTCCACCACTCCTGTTCCCAACCCCCAGCTCGGGTCCAAATCCTTGGGACATCCTCCAATGTGAAAATGTAATTTGTTGTTTTTGTTGATGATCGTGTGAGAGCTGAGTTAAAATGAGTAAATATTGTTAACTCAGAGCTTTTCGTCACCTCAATACATAGTTTACATTTACACATTCACTTTTCACTTTGGGAAGATAATAATAATAATAGCCCTTGCATGATATAGCGCTTTTCACGTCTTCTCAACTTCTCAAAGCGCTTCACAGAATGGACTGTAAAGTGAATTGACCGTATGTTTGTGGGCGAAACGTGGCAGCCAATTGCGCACAACAGTGTCCCACAAACAGTCGTGGATTGAAAGTGACCAATTTATTATTGTTTTTGTTTTTGGAGGGATTATTATTAGGCGTGTGTTTCAAATCGCTTCACACTGCTGCATTAACATCCATAGAACTATAGACATTTACAACATAGAATAAAGCCATTTGGTCCATCGTGTCTGTGCCGGCTTCCTCAAGCGCACCAGAGCTGTGAGGGTTGACGAGGGGAAAGATAATTAAAAGCACAGTCAAAGAGGTATGTTTTAAGATGTGCTTTAAAGAGCGGAGGGAATGAGTTGGAGGGATTCCATGATGACATTCCAGATAGTGAGTGGAAGCAATGGTAGGGTGGATCGAGCAGGGCACATGAAGCAGCTCAGTGTTTGCTGAGCGAAGGAAGAGGCTCCACATGATAGCTTTAATTCCAATTTTTTTTACCTGGTTAACTTCTCCATTTTACATCATTATCCCTCCAAATATATATTAGTCGATTGGCGGATAGCTTTTCCTGCGCTAATAGTCCCTTCAAAAAATAAAAATAATTATTTGGTCACTCAATCCAAGACTGTGGGACACTGCTGTTCGCAATTGGCTGCCGTGTTTAGCCCACAAAATACACAGTCACTACATTTTACTGTATATTCTGTGAGACATCGCGAAGCTGTGTTAAGGTGCTGTATCAAATGCAAGGATTATTATTACTGTCAGATGGTATCATCATCCCACAGTAACACAGTACACAAACGCTAAATAGAACTATCCCAAAAAATCTTAAAACAAATCATAATAACCAAAGCATCAGTGACACTACAAGAAAAGAGGAAACACTCAGCAGGTCAGGCAAGGTCAGGAGGCCTTTCGAAGGGTCATGGACCCGAAATATCGACCCGCTTTCCTTTCTCCATAGATGCTGCCTGATCTGCTGAGTGTTCCCAGCGATCTCTGTTTTTGTTTCAGATTTCCAGTATCTGCAGTATTTTGCATTTTATGCAAGAAAGGATCTTGCTGTTCCAGGTCACAGATCTCAACAGGGGAAATCTCAGTTTGGTTTGGAGACTTTTAAGTATGGTGATGGGTTTTCACATCTGTCAGACATGGCTGACTCCAGAAACCAAGGTGAAATTCCTCTCATGTTTTCAGACAA